CATGGCAAGATTTCAAGCATGTTTGAACAGGATAAACAGGATAACTATAACAAGCTCAGTGTGAGGATTGAACTTTGGATCCCTGAACCCACATGCAAGTCAGGAGGTTTATGGCAGCCCATCTGTCATCCTGGTACACAGGAGGCAGAGATGGAATCCCTGGGGCAAGTTGGCTAGCCAGACTAGCCAAACCCAGTGAGCTCCTTTCATTGAGAGACTCTGCTTCAATATAGAGGTAGAGAGCAATCAAGGAAGATGCCTGATGTCAATTTCAGGCCTCCACACATCCGCACTCTCATTCTTGAGCCCCCACACGTACATACGCAAATTAAATAAAAACAAAGCAAACCATCCTCAGATATTTGTGACTCAGAAGCATCATTTTAGAGCAAATTACCAACATCATGCCATTCACATCCAAAAACTTCACCACACATTTTTAAAGAATGTAACGTTTTCTTTTTTTTTTAATTTTCTTTTTATTATTTTTATTGTATGTGTATGAGTGTGTTGCCAGCAGGCATGTAAGTGCACCACATCATGCAGTGTCCTCAGAGATCAGAAGAGGGTGTCTGGTCCTCTGGAAATGGAGTTTCCTCTTTTTTTCCCTCTTTTTATTTGGAGGTGAGGTTTCATGTAGCCAAGCTTGCTTTGAATCCCCATGTAGCTGATGATGGCATTGAACACCTGATCCTCCTGTCTCCAAAGTGCTTGGATCACAGGCATGTGTCATGTGTTCTGCTGCCTCTCTCTCTGTTTCTCTCTCTGTTTCTCTGTTTCTCCCCCCCCCCCCCCCCACCCAGGGTCTCACTGCTATTTAGCCCTAGCTGGTCTGGAACTGGCTACGACCAGGCTGGGCTAGTACAGCAATCCACCTGCTTCTGCCTCCTGAGTGAAGTGCTGGAATTAAAAGCATGCATGCCCCGCCTGGTTTCTTTTTAAACTTGTATTTAAGGCTGTCCATTTCCTATAAACACTGCTTTAACTGCATCCTATGAGTTTTGATTTCTTGTATCTTAATCTAATCACTCAACTCAGTTCAAAGTACTTTAGTGTTTCTGTTTTGGTTTCCTCTGTGACTCTGGGTTATTTAAAAGTACATTGCTTAAACCCAGAAACTGACTTAGGCACCATCTGAACTGCAGTACTCTGAAGATGGGTTGGGCAGAGTAGTAAAGATAGTTCAGTTTGCTGGACGTGGTGGCACATGCCTTTAGTCCCAGCACTCCTTTGGGAGGTAGAGGCAGATGGATCTCTGTGAAATCAAGGTCAGCCTGGTCTAGATAGTGCATTCCATGTCAGCTGGCACTACAGAGACACCCTGTCTCAAAAAGATCAAAGGAAAAAAAAAGATAGTATAGCTTATGTGTTTTTAAAGTGAAAAAAATTAATTGATAAAACAGAGTGTAAGATGTAGTATTTTTGTTAGTAAATGAAAATCTCAGTCATCTATGTAATATGTTATGAAAATTGAATAATATATTCTTAAAATTAGATGACTTATTTCTTAAATTCATTTCACATTCATGTGGTTTGGTCATATTTGTTTAATATTTTAATTTTATTAATCTATATGTATAAGCTATTTATATGTTTAAAACTATTTATGGCTACAAAAATAAAAAAAGAATAAAATATAAAAAGTGCACCTCTTGCATTCCAAGAACTTCAGATTTTTTTACTTTTTTCTTGTTATTGATTTTAATTCTATTACAGTCAAAGAACATATTCTGAATTATTTTAATCTATTGACTGAAGATCACTTTGTGGTTCAGCATATTGGTCAATTTTGGTAAATCCTTCACATGTGCATAAAAAAATGTTTTATCATTGTTAGGTATGTGTTCCGCTAACTGATTAGGTCAAGTTTGTTAGTTGTATTGATCAACTGTCCATCCTTGATGATTTCTGTTTGTCTGTATTGATAACATGAAAGATTTGAAGTCTTGTACTTTAGTGGTATTGTTTTAAATTCAATTAATTTTTGTTTTACATATTTGAAGTGATGTTATTGGATTCATATAAATTAAAAACTGCTATATCTTCCTATTGGAGAACACTATATTTGTGTGCATATATATATACATATATATCCTTCCATTCCTTGTACAAAAGATAACATAGTTTATAAATTGATCCTTGCATAATTATTTCTATTTGTTTTGAAACTCTCTACTGGTAAGTAAAAAGATATTAAGGGTAAAATATTCCTATTAATTCTCACATAAAAATTGTGATATACTCTCAAACCCAAGATACCCAAATGATTTTTTTTTAAACTTTAAAAATTTATTTATTTATTTATTTTTTTATTTATTTATTTATTTAATGTGTATCCATGTGTTGCCTGCATGTAGGTAAGTGCACCCGTAACATGCAGAAGAGGCTGTTGGATCCCCTGGGACTGTGCTGGGAGTTGAACCCGGGGCCTCTGCAAGAGCAATCAGTGCTCTTAACCTCTGAGCCATCTCTCCAGCCCCTATTTATTTATTTTTTAAATTTTATGTGTATGCGTGTATTGCCTGCATGTAGGTAAGTGCACCCGTGTTGTGCAATGCCCGAGGAGGTCAGAAGAGGCTGTCAGATCCCCTGCGACTGGAGTTACAGTTGTTAGCTGGCATGTGGGTTCTGGGATTCAAACCTGGGTCTTCTGCAAGAATAACCAGTGTTCTTAAACACTGAGCCATCTCTCCAGCCCCCCAAATGATTTTTTACATATTTTAAAATATGTTAATTGATTTAAAAATCAGATGTTTTAATTTAATTTTACTTTTGTGGTGCTGGGGATTCAATTCAGCACCTTACACATGCTAGACAAATGCTCACCATTGAGCTACATCCCTGGTTTTGAAACAAGATGGTGGACTATTTTAAAGAAGGAAGAAAACATTGTGGGGGAAATCAACTTGTTGTTCTGTTATCGGAGCATGAATTAGCACAGCCTTTTGGGGGTAGTGAGAAAAACAAATTTCCTTTCTTTGAGACATGATCTCATGTAGCCCAAACTGGCCTCAAACTCTTTATGTAGCCTAGGATGACCTTCAACTTCTGATCTTCCTGCCTCTGTCTATTAAGTGCCGAGATTATAGGCATGTGACACCATGTTTTTTACTCCACAATTTTTAATGTTTTTTTTTTAAAAAAAAGATTTATTTATTTTTATTTTATGTGTGTAAGTGCTTTGCCTACATCTGTGTGCACTACATATGTGCCTGGTGCCTTTGAAGACCAGAAGAGTATGTTGGGTCCCCTGGCACTGGAGTTATAGGTGGTTGTGAGCTGTGTCACATGGGTGCTGGGAACCAAACTAGAGGCTTCTGCAAGAGCAGCATGTGCTCTTAATACTGAGTCATCTCTCTAGCCCCTCTCCACCATTTTTAATGAAAAAAAGTCATATGTATTGAAAAGTTGAGAAATTGGACATTTATATTTTACAGTTATGATTTTCTTTTATCTTTTTAAGACAGAGCCTAGAACTCACTATGTAGACCAGGCTGGCCTCGATCTCACAGAGATCTGCCTGCCTCTGCCTCCCTGACTCTCAGATTCTATCTCATAAAATATCAAGTACTCAGAAACTTGGAACCCTGATACATTATACACAAAAAAATGTATTTATTACTACTTAATATTTTCATCATAACTCAGCAGATTCCTGAAGGACCTGTGGCAGGGTTCCAATGTTAACATAAAGCTGAATTATTTATATGAGGGAATGCAAAACAAAATACCTTTAAAGTTCCCCAGGGTGTGCTGCAGAGTGAGAGACCCCAGATGCATCACTGCACTACAGAGAATCTGTCAAAATACCTTCAAACTTTCTCAACTTGCTTTCATAATGTCTCTTTAGGCTATGCTTGCCTCTACAACAGTGAAGTAAATGTGATGTTGGCACTAAAAGGTGTTCCTCCACGCCCATCTAGTTGTGAATATTTTTATTTTCTTCTTCACATCTGTCTATCCATCCTAGTGTGTATGAGACCCTGGGTTCTTATATTTTGATATAAGATACAGTAAACTGTAGATACTGGTATGCTTTATCCCTAAACATTTCAGTATACATATGGAATAGAGTTCAATTTATTTTTATTTTATTTTATTTTTGATAACATCTCACCATGGAGCCCTGGCTGGCCTGGAGCTAGGTATGTAGACCAGATCTGCTTGCTTCTTCCTCCCAAGTGCTGAAATTGAAGTCAAGCACCACCATACTGGGCCCATTTGGTGTGTTTTGACAAAGGCATAAACTTTTTCTAATACAATCTCCTATAAAGATACAACATACATCTACCACTACAGAAAGTTCCTCTCATCCTTTCCCAGCTGATCTCATCTCTTGCTTCACCCAGGCATTTCTTTCTAGTAGCTTAACTTAGTTTGTTTGGAACATCACGTAGTAGAATCAGATGTTCCTGTACAGTCTTCATCGGGCATCATGAGCTGCTCCTCTATTCACTCCTTTTTACTACTGAATATTAGCGTTCTGCCTTATGAATGTCCCCTTACTTTATCTATTCTCCCATAATACTGTAAATTTGGCTTGTTTCCAGTTTAGGGTTATTAAAGAACAAAGGACCATCAGACATTCTTAGGAAGTATTTTTGAGGAGACATGTTTCCTTTTGAGTCACTTGAAGGGGTACAGCATCTGTGCAGTTCCTCTCTGGAGGCTTGGTCCCTGTATGTGACACACTACAAGCCATGTGACTGATGTGGAAAGTGTGTAGCAGGAGGTGTTAGCAGGTGGGCAGTGCTCCACAGGTGAGGCCTCCTGGAGGAGGCCCTGGGCTGGAGCACCTTGGTTTAGTAGGAAGACCCAAGGCCCTGGGTCAGATATACCCACTCAGGCTTAGAAAAGCATCCTTGGGGGCTGGGGCTCACTTTGCTTGTCTTTATGACAATGACACCATGGAATCTGGTGGACTGACAGCAGGCCCAGGCCCAGCCATAGCCTCAACAATGTGCCTCTTTCATCAAATGTTCCTCTTTTGCCCACAGGCCTGACCCCACTGGGGGCCTTCAACGTGGATGTGACCAGGCCGTGGGTCACAATGCCTAAGGGAGGTACACCTTTTGTGCTCAGCTCCCTTTTATACCGAGACCCCAGCACCAACCAGACCTGGTGAGTGGAACCACCATGTGGAAGGGTGAGGACTGGAAGGGAGCCTGAGGTGTACCCCAGAGAAGGCCATGATGCCCCACACCACAGCCTGGCAGAACCCCTTTTACTTTGTGAATGACACAGGGCCAAAGAGAAAGGTGTGTGTGGGGGGTGATGGTGTGGTAGCTGTGGTCCTCAGGCTAGCCTATGGAGTCCATGGAGCCCCTGTGTTCTGCCCTGTCCTCTGCTTATTCAAGTCTCCTCCTGCTCCACTGCTTAGGGGAAGGAGAACTTTAAAACTATTTTAAAATAGAGCTCACCAAGGCTCTTTTGCTATTTATAAAAGTTACATGTAGTCAATCTAGAAAATTTGGAAAAGTAGTATAAAAAAATTTAAAAGGAAAGTGGAAACTCTGAGGCTCAAGCTGAAGAGGTTAAGAGTCTGCAATTCTGGGGGTCACAGCTCAGTGGCACCTCACTGTTTCGCTGAGCAACTTCAGCAAGGTGCCAAGCCCCGAGCCTCAGTTTCTCCCTTCAGACATGGAGGTGGTCATTTCCCAACCTCACAGGATTGCTGCAGAACTGTCTGAGAAAACAAACCTACAGAGCTTCACATGGGTTTTGGCCACATTGAGGTGCAGAAACATTACCTCCTATTTTGAAAATATCATCTGTATCCATCCACTGACTTAGCAAAAAAAAAAAAGTAAAGTCTGAGAAGACAGTGCTGGTGAGGTTGTGATGAGACAGGAATGTGTGGGAGGGTACTGGCATCTCTGCCCTGTAAAGCAGCATTGCCATAGCTGGTGAGGCTGAGGTGCACAGTGGCCTTTGGCTCAGCAGCTGTACCCCAGGTTCCAGCTCTAAAGAAATGCACAGGCCTAAAGAATGTGCAGGTCTTGGAATTGAACCAGGATTTTATACATTCTAAGCACATGCTCACCCCAGCACATAGTTTGTGTGTGTGTGTGTGTGTGTGTGTGTGTGTGTGTGTGTGTGTTGCTGAAAACTGAACCCAGGGCCTGAGCTGAGTTTTTAGCCCTAACATGAAAACATCAACAGAGGCATTGCTTATCACTGTGAAAGGACAGAAATATTCATCACTGGACAATGGGAAAAATAAGGTATGAATTGCATGAAGCAAGAAGCAAGTCAAATTAGTGAAACCAGTGTTCAATCTGGCCTCCAAGGGCACCCGCATGCACACACAAATACACATACATACACACACCCTGCACACAAGTAAAGAATAAAGGTACACGCCTTTAATCCCAGCACTTGGGAGGCAGAAGTGGGTGGATCTCTGTGGCTACATGGAAACCCTGTCTCAAAAAAACAAAACCAAAATATAATAATGATAATTTGGGGTGGGTGGGTGCTGGGGATCAAACCCAGAGCTTTATGTATGCTAGGTAAGCTCTTTGTTACTGAGCTATCCCCAGTATGAGATTTTATTTATACCTACCTGTGCAAGTGAATCCAGGGTCAAGACAGGCATTGAGCAGAGCCAGGTGTGAGAGTTTCTGGCAGAGCAGAACTGTTTTGCCTGGTGGAGAGTAAATGGTCATTAGTTGTCACTGTAACAGCCTCAGAGGCCTTGGATCATGGACCATAACCCTGCCAACAAAGTAGGCCTAGACCCTTTAGTCAGCTCTGGGTTCCTCATCAGTATGGTGAAAAGTCAGGTGGTCATTAGATTTAATCTGGTTTTTTTATGCTGTTGGTAATAGAGTTCTGTTGCTTATAATCAGGAACTCTACTGAATTATCAATATTAAAGCTGAAAACTGAAGTTGTCTGTTGACACAAATGGTTCCTAAGTCTTAAAATCTCCACTGCTGGAGTTTGAATTTTCCATGCTGGGATTATATGTCAGCTTCCAGGTCAATCTCCCTTTTTTCTTGTTCTTTTTTCTTTTCTTTTCTCTTCTCTTCTTTTCTTTCTTGGATTAAAGGTGTGGTGGTGTACGCCTTTAATCCCAGCACTGGGGGGCAGAGGCAGGTGGATCTCTGTGAGATTGAGGCCAGCCTGGTCTACATAGTGAGTTCCAGGTCAGCTGGAGCTGCAGGGAGACCCTGTCTCAAAAACAAAACTAAACTAAAAGAAAAGATTTATTTATTTTTATTTTATGTGTATGAGTGTTTTCCCTACATGTATGTAAATGCATCACATGCATACAGTGCCATCAGAAGCCAGAAGAGGGCATCAGATCCCCTGGAACTGGAGCCATCTCTTCAGCCCCTCCATTTCCCAGATAACAAAATTATTATGTAAGGGGCTGAACCCTGTTCTGGAGTTGAGCCTGAGCCTGGCTCTGTGGATTTCATTAATAGACTTATGTGGAAGGACAGGTTCGATCCTCTCATTCACTCCTTCATTCATTAGCAGGTATTTATGAAGTGTCTGCTCAGTACCAGACAAAGTCTGTGGGATAAAATGGTGAGATGTGGCTCCTGCTCCCATGGAGCTCTTAGGTTCATGAGGGACATAGACACATCTCACAACGACAGCAGTGATACAGCTCTGACAGGTCTTCAGCATTGATGCCAGGAGCTACTGTGAAGACTGTATGGGAGAGGGGAGTCTAAGCAGAGAGAAGAGCATGGCCAAAAGCTGGGAGGTCGCCCCAAGCAAGGGTAATCACTAAGAAAAAGCCCACAACTGAGTCTGAGAGCCATGGGGAATAAGATGGGGGAGTGAGCAGTTCCTTGGCACCCAAGTGTGGGGGTCTGGAGGACCCAGAAATTTGAAGCAGGGACAGGTAGTGAGAAAGTTATCAGGAAGATCTCAGCTGCAGAAAGATGAATTGGAAGTTGATGTTTATTGTGTTTTGTTTTGGTAGAATTGTTCTGACAAACATCATACACAAAAATGCACACAGCATAAATGTGCAGCTCACTACATGTTCACAAAGCAAGCCAGCTGTGTAAGCAACATCTAGATTAATTGCAACAGGCAGCCTCCTGAAAGGTCCCTGAGAGCCCCATGCTGGGCACCGTCACATCCCCCACTGACAGTCACCTCCTGACTCAGAGTGTCTGTAGGCTAGTTCTACCTAGTTTTGAACTTGGTATAAATGAGGCAGGCAGAATCCACTCTGACTCAGCAGAAGGTCTACGAACCTATTCATAGTGCTGCCCTGCTGCTGAGGCTGAAATGCTCAGGTTCACTGCTGGAGTTTTCCATTGTGTCAACAGTACTTAGTAATGGTGAGCGTGTGAGTGTTTTCCCTGCTGCTTCCATTGCACAGATAGATGCACTCACTCCATCTCGCCTGGGACTGGAATTGCTGGGCCATCGGGTCTATGTTGACTATGTATTCAGTGGTTCTAGTCTAGTTCTCTGTGACCATCTCCTGCCCAGCTCCCTCCCACCACTACCCCAGTGGGTCCCTCACTAGCTCCAGGTAAAGAGGGAATATTTGTGTTTAAAGCCTTTGATGAAGATCCTTGGAAGCTCTCAAGATGTGGGGAGCCCAGTTGGTCTGCTGAATACCTCCAGAACACCTGCTGAGGGGGAGAGGGGGCTCGTGGATTTGCACATGTTGAGAGGAGGATGTGGTAGAGGCAGTTCTGGGTCCCTGAGACCACTGGCCTGCTGCAGGGGGGAAGGAAAAGCATCTTGGCTACCCATAGAGAGAGGAACATGCTGCTGCCTGCTTCCGCCCCCAGGGTGAGGGTGACCTGTCTCCCTCACTCCCTTGTACTTTCTGAAGTATAGCAGACCAGGACTGCCAGCATCCTGGGCTGAGGCTGTAGCAGGGGGATGGAGTGGGACATAAGCAGGTCTTCCCCCACCCTCCAGGGTAATTTGGGAAAGCCTCTGGAAAGAGGGACAGTGGAGCTGGGAGAAGGGCAGGAGATGGATGAGATGCGCTGGGGCCACGTCCAGTCCAGAGTGGATAAGGGAACCTGTCAGCAGATGGCTGGTCCTCTTTAGCTAGTCAGTCTAGATTTGGTTGATTTGCCAGCCACTGAGTCAGCAAACCTGGAGATGAGTAGCCATAAAAGGGGTAGGGAGCAGAGGCAGCCCAGGCTGGGCCCCCATACAGAATTGCATGCTTGAAATATGAGTGGCCATCTTGGAACTTTGCAGTGTGCAGTCTACACAGCTATACCTGGTGGTCTCTTGAGCGCTCATAGCCCAGATGGGAACAAAGACTGGGAATCCAATAGTTAAGGCTGTTAGAGCTTGGAGGGGAGCAAATTGCACCTTCCTTTGGGAAGATTCCTAAAGAGCTGGTGCCTCAGAAGGATGTTCTGTAGGAGACGGAAGTGAAAAGCATTGTAGGTGGAGCAAACATCCTGGAAAAGGCCTGAAGAGGAGGAAGAGCCAGGCTGGATGAATGTTCTGGGGAGGAGCCTGGTTCTGAGTGTACCTACCATGTGGAGGAGGGAAAAAGTACTGGACCAGAGCCAAGGCTCAGCCTGAGGAGAGAGGCAGTCTTGCTAAGCAGTGACCTGATTTGCACCTGGTCTTCTACCTATCTGCTCCACCCCAGACTAGCCTCTTAGCTGTTGCTGGGGCTGTCATGCAAGTCATTCAACAAATGTTTCCCGAGCCCCTGCACTGTGCCAGGTGCTGTTCCAGGCCCTAGGAATTGCAAGGCAGACAAGGTAGATGAAATGGTTAGGAAACTAACTGCTTAGTGAACGATACAGATAGAGAATAAGCAGGTAAGTAAGTTAACAAGATACTATCTGGTGATAACAAGTTCTGAGACAGAACTAAAACAGGGCCATTTGAGGCAGGATAACTGGGTTGTGAGGCGGGGCTTGTTAGAGAAAGCATTTATGAGTGGGTGAGAGTTAAACAGGATACAGGGATGAGAATGGGCCAACCCTGGGGACAGTGGGAGGTCAGGGTTCGAGGCAGAGGGAACAGCTAGGCAGAAGGCCTGAGGCAGGACAGGACCAGCCCCTGCAGTTTGTTATAGCAGCACATCTGCAGGTCTTCCTCTGTGTGGGCAGGGCAGTTTGGAGAGACAGCAAGCAGACATCCTGCCTGGCTCTGGAGGCTGTAATGAGGGGTTTGAACTTTTTTTGAGTGCATGAGAATGAGTGAAGCAGAGTGTGACATGGTATGACTCTTTTAAAGTCGAGGCTGTAATGAGGGGTTTGAACTTTTTTTGAGTGCATGAGAATGAGTGAAACAGAGTTATAAATAGCAAACAACAGGAGGCCATTACCATAGATGGGGCAGGATGGCGGTGATACAGAAGTGGATCTTCTCTAGAGTCAGTGGAGAAAGAACCAATAAGACTGACTGTGTAGGGATGAATGAATAGGCAAACAAGGATGCTTCCCAGATGATATCATTTACAGATGCAGGAAGATGAGGAAGAGCAGGCTTGGGACAGGAGCAGGGGTTCTGCTTAGGGCATTCTGAGTCTGAGATGCCTACAAAATAACACGTACCATGACATTAGTGGCTTATAACGCTGCAAGATTATTATATTATGGTACTGGAGATTGAAAGTCTGAAATAAGTCTTCCTGGGCTGATATCAAGGTGTCATCTTCTGGAAGTTGTAGGTAAGAATCCATTGTCTTGTCCCTTATAACTTCTAAAGGCTACCATATTCTTTGGTACAGCCCCTTTCAATGAACTTGGGGTATTGCACCTTCAGATTTTACTCTAACTGCTTAAAAAAAGACATAAGCTGGGCTTGGTGTGCACAACTTTAATCCCAGAATTTGGAGGCAGAGGCAAGTGGATCTCTGTGAGTTTGAGGCCAGCCTGGTTTACATAAAGAGTTCCAGGCCAGCCAGGGTTATATAGTAAGACCCTGTCTAAAACACACACACACACACACACACACACACACACACACACACACACACACACCAGAGAGAGAGAGAGAGAGAGAGAGAGAGAGAGAGAGAGAGAGAGAAACAGAGCTGGGAAGATGGCTTATTGGGTAAAGTATGTGCTGTTTAAGCATGAGGATCTGAGTTCAAATCCCAAGCACCCACATAAAACCCAGGCATGATGGCACAAATTCTGTAATCCCACAGAGCTGGAAGGCTAGAAACAGGCTGATTCTGGTGGCTTGCTGACCAACCGGACTAGCCAAAATAGTGAGCTTCAGGTTCAGTGAGAGACCTGTCTCAAACAAACAAACATAACAAGGAGAGCAAGAGAGGAAGACATTGGACGTGGGCCTCTGGCCTCTGGCTTCTACACATATGCACACTTATGTGCATATACTTACATGAATGGTTACATCACCACACATATACACACACAACTAAAACAACAATCAAACAAATAACAGGGTCTCGCTATATAGCCCAGGCTGGCCATGAACTCATGATCCTCCTGCCTCTGCTTCCCAAATTGGGATTATAGGCATGCATCATCATACCTTTCTCTGAGTCTGATCCTCTAACCTCCCTCTCATAAAGACCCTTGTGACTGAATAGGGCCTATTAAGATAGTCCAGGATCATCCCCCCCCCCAAAGATTCTTAATTCATTTTTATCTACAAAGTCTCCCATGCCATAGAAAGTTACACATTCAGTTTCTGAGGTTGAGGACATGGGAACACTAGAGGGCATTACTTTGCTTTGCATTACAGCTGACTGCTCTGGCATATGCTAGAGGGATATAGGGCTTCAGATTGGAAAGTGGGACTTGCAGCCTTGGAGAATGGTTGGAAGCCCTGGGACTGGAAGGGATAATGAGGTGAGCATGCTGGCTAGGAAGACAGGAGATCCTGGTGACATTAGAACTCAGTGGCAAAGGACACTGAGCAGGAGAAATGAGAAGGGAGGAAAGTCAGGAAGAAAGTGTTGGAGGAGGAGGCAGCCACTCATGTCCCAGCTGCTGCTCAAAGGCTGAGGAAATGAAGGCAAGAAAGGTGTCTGTTGGGTTTGGTAAGACAGGACACAGGTGACCTTGACAAGAGCGTTATCAGAGGGTGAAAGTCAGCTTGAGGTGAGTTCCGCAGCTGTGTGTGGTATCACACAGCTGCGGACTTGTTCCATCAACCATGTAAATATGAGAATATTCTCTTTTTAAAAATATCTTATTTATTTTATGTATATGAATGTATTGCCTGCACTCATGATAGGTGCACCCATGTCCTTCAATGCCCTGGAGGTCAAAAGAGGGCATTGGATTCCCTGGAACTAGAGTTTTGGATGGTTGTTAGCCGCCATGTGGGTGCTAAGAATCAAACTCGGGTCCTCTGCAAGAGCAACCAGTGCTCTTAACTGCTGAGCCAACTGTCCAGTCCATATGTGAATACTCTGACTCATTTAAAAAATGTCTAGTGATAGGTGTTGAGGAAGTAGAGGCAGCACCTCATTTCTGTCCCTCTTCCTGTATTAACTTGTTTCCCAGCCCACCATAGCCACAGCATGACCTTTAAAAACACAGACTGATCATGTGCTTCCCCTTTACAAAGCCCTCTATGGCTTCCTGTTGCCTCTGGCACGAAGCCCATGGACTTGGTTCACTGTTACCAAGCCAAATCTCAAATCACCTTCCCTACCATTCTACTTAAACCCAAGTTGGAGGTGTTCACTCACTCCGTCTCAGGCCAGCCCCTGGCTTCCCCAAACAGCATGAGAATGTTTGGGCTGACACCTACCTCTCTGCTGTTTTGTTGGGTTGGGGAACAAGGGGTTTGCAGCAGAACTGGCATCTCCTCAGACTGTCTTTATCAGGTCCCCAAACCTCCAATTCTGATTGACCCACAGGAGAGGGGTGCCTGCCAGGGTGCTCTCCTCAAAAATCACTATCACTGAGGCCAGATGGGTCAGTGCAGCCAAGATGCTTTGGGGCTGGAGAGATGGCTCAGCAGTAAAATGCACTACTGCTCTTACAGAAACCTTGTTCTGTTCCCAGCACCCACATGGCAGCTAATAACTGCCTGTAACTCCAGTTCCAGGAGACCTGATACCTTCTTCTGGCCTGTGCAGGCATTGTATGACACAGGTGTACATGTACATGTAGGCAAAACACTCAAATACAAAATACATTTAAAAAAATAATAAAAGAACCAGCTATGTGGTTAGTGATTTCCTTTCCCTCTACCCCAACCCATAGGACAGTAGAATCTTTTCTTAGCACCCAAAGTGCCCCCAACTCAGTAAAGGTGGGTGGCAGGCAGACAGGTGTTGCATTTAACTGTTCCTTACCTGGAGCTGTATGGAAGTAGAGACTGAGCGAGTGCCTTCCCTGTGATACAGAGTCTGCAGGGCTGGGCTAGGAAACTGCTTGCTTTTCCTAGGACTGGGCCTTCTCCTCAGACAAAGCATCCGAGGGGCTGGGATGGGAAGACTGGGACTGGGCAGGCAGGGAGGAGAAAGGAGCCTCCAGCCAGTTGGGCTTTGCTGTCTGCCCCCCACTCAGTCTCCTGGTCACCAGCAACAGCACCAGTAGGACTTCAGCACTCCTGTATCGTTGTGTCCTCAGTGGAGAAGAAATTGCTTGCCAGCCAGTAGGTAAGCCAGCCCTATCTCCACCATGTGTTCCCTAGGCTAACCTTCTAGAAATCCCACACATCCCAACCCAATCATTCCAACCCTAGCCCTGCCTGGTCCAGCCCAACCACCCCTGGTCCCCAGCCCCACAGAGAGCCTTCCACCCCAGCATCCATGCCACTCAACACAGCCCAGCCTGCCTCTCCTGATGTGGTCCTAATGATAGAGCTGTACGTAACATTGAGTGCTCACCATGTGCCTGGCACTCTTAAGTGCTTATTCATTTTTTTAATGTGCCAGTGTTTGTAGTGTACATGCATGTGTGTTTGTATGTTCACATGTATGTGGGTGCTCATGTGTGTGCATGTATGTGATGGCCTGAGGCTGATGTTGGAAGACTTCCTGGATCCCTCTCTATCTTATCCAACCCAGGGTTTATTGAACCTAGGGCTTGCCGATATGGCTACTCTAGCTAACCTGCTTGCTCCAGGGACCCCCTCCCAGTCTCTGCCTTCTAGGCTCTGGAATAACAGGCAGGCTGCCATGTCCACCTAGCATTTACATGGATGTTAGGGATCTATACTCTGGTCCTCATGCTGGTGCGGCAAGCACTTTACCCACTGAGTCATCTCCCAGACCACTTTGTTCACTTTTTTATTTTTTTGGTCTTTTTGAAACAGAGTCTTCCTGTAGCCCCAGCTGTCCTGGAACTCACTATGTAGACCAGGCTGGC